TATGGAGTATCTCAAAATCCATATACAAATAATTATATTTTAGTTCAAAAGTATCTTACTTGGACTAGTGGAAATGTAAAAATTGATAATTTCATTCATGCAAGACGGGATAAAATTAGTAGTTTTCCTGATGCAATATTTGAATGGATACCATATAATCAGTTTAATGAAATTAAGGAAATAGGTAAAGGTGGTTTTTCTACAGTATATTCAGCAATATGGAAGGATTTCAAAGTTGCTTTAAAATGTTTGGACAATTCACAACATCCTGCTAATGAATTACTAAATGAGGTATGAAATACTATTTCATAAATTTCAGTTATTTTCAATATACTTGCGCTTTATTTATATGATAAATATTTAATAGGTTGAGGCATATTCAACTAAAATGGCTCTTAGTAATAGTAAAATTATGAATATATATGGAATATCTCAAGATCCAAATACAAAAAATTATATTATTGTTCTTCACTATGCAGAAGGTGGAAGTTTTAATAATTGGTTAAATATAAATGAGAATTATAAATATTTTAATTGGAAAGATAAGATGCAAATATTACGTTATATTGCCAGTGGACTTAGAGAACTTCACCGTAAACAAATAGTACATCAAGATTTTCATACAGGAAATATATTATTTGGCAATCTTTCTTCAAAACAAAATAGTAGAATATATATTTCAGATATGGGATTATGTAGGAAAGTTGATGATATCAATCAAAATAATATTTATGGAGTTATGCCTTATGTGGCCTCTGAAGTATTAAGAGGAAAACCTTACACTAAAGCAGCAGATATCTATAGCTTTGGTATGATTATGTATTTTGTAGCAGCTGAAAGACAACCTTTTGGCAATCGTGCACATGATCATCATTTAGCATTAGATATTTGTAATGGAATTAGTCCTGAAATGAATGAGCTGGAAATGCCAATAACTTATATTAAATTAATGAACAAGTGTTGGGATTTGAATCCTGAAAATAGGCCTAATATCAATGAATTAGATCACTCACTTTCATTGATTGCAAATAACAAATTAGAAATTGAAAAAGCAGAGGAATATAGAAAGTTACATCTCTCTTCATTAAAAGGGGATAGACAAATAACTACTCATCCTCAAGCTATTTATACATCTCGATCACTTAATCCTTTCACAGAAAATCTCCCAAAATATAATGATGATAATTCTGAATGCTTAGATTGTGCAATTACTAATAACCTAAATTAGATGCAAAATAAGCATAGCACATGATTAATTTTACAAATTTATTTATTTGATATTTTAAATATAGTTAGTTATTCACAGAACATTTGTAATGAAAATAATAATTTTTTGTCCAACACTGCATAGATAGGATAAATATAAATTCTTGTTTTAAATAAATAAAATCAGTTTGTAATTGGGCAAATCAAAAAATATTGCATTTCCTGGTATAGTAAACTAACCTATTTTTACCAAACTCTGTCCCCTAAATCTTGTAGTTCAAACAGGATTATATTTACCTTCGAATTATGATCAGTTAGCCGCGCCTTATTAATTTGTATTAATAAATTATTACTACATATATCAAGATTATGGTTTCAATTTTTTTAAACTTTGGATACTATTATAAATCAAATTGAATATGCACATTTACTCATTAACTATTATTCTACGATCTTAAAATGAGAAATAATAAAAATTTTAAATCAAAAAACTTAGAATTATGAAATGGAGAAAAGTCAGAAAACTTTTATGTCCTATTGTTAATTTTGTGTTGGAAATTATTTACATCAAAATTTGGGATACCAATCACAATCATGATGATTTGAGGTGAAAATAGCGAGTGGCGAGAAATCCTATTTGATATAAAGAATGGCAAAAATTTGTTTTTATTGCGTTAGATTTTGTGATTTTGTTCAAAATTGATACTATTGATTTCTCAATGTACAAATCATTAATACTGTATATGATAACTTTAGTTCTGAAATCAATTTTATTATATTATTATACTTATTTTGACTCCATCTAACAAATAAATTGTATCACTTAATGTTAGAAGAAGTTCGACACCAAAGATGATATTCATATAACATATAATTATTTCATTAGCCATTCATCGGAAGCACTTTGTGGAACGCGTATCTTATGTAGTTTTTGTAATTACTTTCTTGAAAATTTTTGGATATAACCTGAATTTTTACAGACACCATCTGAGCAACTCCTATAAATGTTTGTTATCTTCAATTTCAGGTACAAATATAGCCAGACGTTTCTTATACTACTGGCGAATAATTAATGGTTGTAACCATTGCTCACCTTATTTCAATTTGAATGTGTAGACGTACTGTACCTAATTCATGTATTAATATCAAGTTGGCATGAAAATGGACAAAAATCATTATTAGATGAAAAAACATTTATTAGATTTTTATTATCCTATAATGTTATGACTTATTTTGTAGTAAATCTTGGAAATTGTCAGAATTGCACTAGTAAATAATCAACACTTTGATAATAATGTTCGGATAACATTTGATTTAAATTAGAAATTTGTATTGTTATATGAAAGTCATTTTCCATTCGTATTCATTCAAAAATGCGGCAATTTTTTGACCTACTTTAATGAGAAATCTGGAATGAGTATGTGAGTCAGAAATACTGTACTTGAAAGTTCTTACCAGTAACATGAAAAAGGCCATAGTGAAGGTATGCACAGTTTCTATTAAATTAACTTTTATCGGAGACATAAATGATGTTTCAAATTTTAGCGGTTTATTATCAATTATACTGTAAGTTTACTGTTTAAAAAATAAAAATACATTTATCCTTGGCATTTAAGGTTTATCGCATGATTTTTGTGCTATTATGATGCAGTCTGCAGTTTTTAATTCGCAACATTTTATTTTAATATTTTTATATTTATTTTCCCGAATTTATATAGTAATTCTTCTGCGATCGTGAACAGCACTGCTTCGCTTGGGAGATAATAAGTATTTATTCAAACAAGATATATATTAGTAATTGGAAATTAATTTGTTACAATCTAAGATTTCAGTTATAATTATGGGTAATTTTTTCATGGCGATATGAGAGAGCCTTGATCAATAGAAGCCCTATAAAAAAAGAAAATTCGGAATTTGTCCTGAAAAGTATGGAAAATGTCCGGAAATTTTCTGTGCGTCCGGAAAACATTTGGAAACGGTCACGTTTTGGAACACTTTCCGGACACACAAATTCCAGACATTTTCTTGACACTCCAGAATTTGTCCAGAATTTGTCCAGAATCAAGCGTCCAGAAAATGTTCCAAAACATGACCGTTTCCGAATGTTTTCCGGATGCACGGAAAATTTCCGGACATTTTCCATACTTTTCAGGACAAATTCCAAATTTTCTTTTTTTATAGGGAAGCCAATTAAAATACGAAATTACATTAACTTGCGGAGAAGTATTTTTTTCTCAATTTTTCTCATTTCTTTCAATCTATAATATCAATTTTATTCAAGTTTTTTTCGAACAAAATTAAGGTTATAAAGTGTATAAAATATTTTAGTGACAAAAAAACTTTCCATGTTCGCGCCAATTTCCAATTTTTCTCGAGTGTTTGAGTAAATAGAAAGTAACAAAAAATTGGACCAGTGAAACCTATTGTAACATAAACAACTTCAATAATTTATTAATATTGTAATAATTCGGTTAAAAAAATTTATTTTCATTACAATTAATGTTTGTGCACGTCTATTCTTATAAATGAAGATCGCATACTTATCAACGGGATTACTTGCACTTGATTTATCATTACTTTGCTTTTCATTTTACGCAACTGCTACCTCTTATTAATTAGGATAATCAGAATCGGTCGAGGAACTGTATATTAAGATTTGTATACAGTATTCTGTTCTATTTTATGTACTTATTTTTTTTTAAAGATTAACATCGAAGTTACCGCAGATAAAATTAATAATTTGGCGCTTACTTTATCTAAACAATCTAGATTAATCTCGTGATTGATTTTTCTATATAATTTTAATCAACTACATCGGGATTAGGAAAAGTTTGCAACTGGAAATATATGTAGTTAATTGAACTTTTAAATACAATGATAATAAATTGAGTTAATAAAAAAGCAATAGGAAAATCTTTCTCGCAATTTTTGTACAAAAAA